TACAATAAATTCTTGAAAAATATGATGTGTGAACTTTAACCCTTTGAGTACAATGGATGCTTTAATTTCCAATTAAATTGTCAACAAATAATGGTTGTTTACTTAAAAATTAAATGTTATTTATATAATGTTATATAACAAAAAATCTGAAATAGACTTAACTTTATGGTATATAGATAACTGATGTTTTTATAGAATACATTTCTATAGAATACATAATTCACAAAAAAGAAATTCTACACCGATCATAGTTATGCACCGAGTCTCTAAAGTACTCTGCATTCAAAGGGTTAATTCAATAATGACTGATGTTCTGCTTGTAATTAATGAATACCTTTAATTTGTTAATATTTTTTTAGGTGCATGAATACGACTGTGCCTTAACAATGAACTCTTATCTGTAAATGATTTTTCACATTCTACGCATTTGTATGTTCTTCCAGTATGCGTAACCAAATGTCTACTAAGACCAGATGCATGACAGAAGGCTTTAGGGCAGAGTTGACAATGATGCAGTTGAATGTCATTTGGATCAAGTTTTTGATGTCTTCTCATGTGCACCTTCAATGCTTCGCGTTGCGTGAAACTCTTTTCACAGTGTTGACATTGAAAAGGTTTTTGTCCAGAATGTGTCATTAGATGTCGCAGTAAAATTTCTTTTTGGGCAAATGCTCGGTGACAAATGTTGCAACCAAATGGTTTCTCACCTACAAAAAATGATAATTTTAAGAAATCAAAAGTACTTGTGTGACTAATTAATTTTTTGAATTAAATATTCTTGTCTTTTAATTTAATTTTTTACATCCCTCTATTACTGATTGTATAATTGATTATGTAATGATTGAACCATTACTATTGAAAAACTTGTTATAAAATGATTTACAATTTAATCTATAAATATAATTAGTTTATACATGCAGCAATAATTTTATGTACCTGTATGAGTACGTTCATGTCTCACTAGAGCTGACCTCGTGGGGAACCATTTTTCACAGGCTTGACACGTGAAGCCTCTTTGCGTTGAGTGAACAGATTGATGACTCTTTAACATTATTCTTCGAGTAAATGCTTTTGGACATTTGTCACATTTAAATACTTTCAGTTCTTCATTAGCTTCAACTATAAAAAAAAACAATACATTAAAAAATTTATCTTATACCAGTACACTATTTCTTTGAAAATTTTGTAGAATACCTATGGTGTCTGTAATGGGTTGCAACTTCAGTGATTCTCCTTGACCAGAACTGTTACTGGTAAGTTCCATCATATAAACATTTTTGTGATCAGCATTTGCAATCGCTCTCTGCACTTCTTCCGCTTCATCTTCAGATTCCTGCTCTTGTTTAATACGAGTTGTACGTATTGTACAACGTGCTTTAGCAGCACGTTCTTCAGCAGGTACTAATGTAATATTTTCTGGGTCTTCTGATAAGGTTTCTTCCATCTCTAAATTCTCGGAGTTCATTCCTTTAATAAATGACATAGTTTTTTTTTAATAGAATTGAATTAAAATTATTAATGTTGTTTTAACACATTCGCGACCGGAAAATTTTTCGTTTTTCTAATACTCATTGTCGATGAAAATGAAGAAAATCTTAAGCTAATTGCCGTAAATTTCTAACATTGAAACACGGACAAAAACTAGAAAAGTTTTTTAACGATCTGTTTCTTGAAACGAAGAACTTTCCGTTAAAGAAGTTGCAAATGGAAAAAAGAGCAGAAGAATAAATCGTGAATGTGTTAATATCTAAAGTCGAATTGTAACAAACAATAACCGAGTAATAACAAATATACATAATTTCATATAATTATAAGAAGCAAATATCATTAATACCTAAAATATAACCCCCAACAAGCTCTTCCTCTGTGACTTCAATTGGATCTCCATCTGCCTGGCCACTATCTGCTTTAGTCGATACTAAATCAGCCAACAATTGTTTAACTTGTTTAGATTTTCCACTATTTGAACCATCCTTCAATTCTTCTCTATTACTATCCTGATTTTCTCCTTCTTCATCTTGGCCAATTAATTGTTGTATCTGTTTCATATGTTTTCTAAGCTTGGCATCAGCAGCTTCGCATTTCTTCTTAAATTGATATGATTTTTCTAATTGATATTTGCATGGATGACAAATCATATTCGGGAGACCGTCTTCCTCATAAACCTGTAAAAGAAGATGTTAATACTTTTATTAATTGAATCATGTTATTAAGATAAAAACTTAAAACATTAATTGCAGATTTTTATAAATCCGTGATATGAATGATCGACAGAGATGAAGTCAAATTCAATATGTACCCATAAATTCATACACTTTCAATATAAAAGTATTGATTCACAGATATTGAATATTAGTCATAAAAAAGTATTTACTAATTATATCAGTAGTGTGTCTATAAATGCTTTGGAAGGCAATTGGAAGGCCTTAGTTGAAAGGCAATTCACTGAAAATATCACATACCGCATACAATCGAATTTAATGTTCAAATCTATCTGAACTAGGTGTAAGTTTACTTAATTTGTAACGCTTTTCTTTTTTATGTTATTTGTGATGTGTTTGAAACTATCCAGTCATATTCGAACCTATTTACAATATGATTTGTTTTATCTCTGATATTTTGCAATGTTTAGATCTCTGTACGAATAAAATCTAAATAGTAATAACATTTTACAGAGCATTATATCCTAACTGCTGAAAAATTTGCAATACAAAAAATGTTATGTCGTAATAAGTTCTAAGTATTTCAAAAAATTACCTATTTTGTATTAATACAATATAGATTTTGGGAGAAATCAAGTTAATAAAAATTAGATAATAATAATTTAGTTCATATCATGTCATCATTTATTTGATAAAAATCTACTAGAATCTTCATGTATTTTATAGGATACTACTGTGATCTAACGTTTCCTGTACTGCAGATGAGAGTGAATGATGCATGTATAGCAAACGCCTGGAAAAATTCATAGATGTATAAAAATGTTTGTACTGTTATGTAGTACAGTAAAAGAAATACATATTTTCGCAATGTTATGTTTCATAACCGGTATTCCTATCATTTGAAAGTAAGCAACAGATGTTTTTCCCGCTGTGTCATATTAGGCATGCCTCAGATGAAAGCAGTATATAGATGCTCTATTTGTGCTAATTATGCCAGAAATTGGTAATTGATCGGTAATGTTGCATGTGACTTTAAAATGGTAACGAGACTCTAGAATACCGTGGGCATGGGACAGAAAAATGCATTGGATGTTAGGTTTATCCTACATCTCGTCTGTGATTCCTGTAATGAAAGTGAAGAAGGTGGCGTCAGGGCACAAAGTCGATAACTCGGTAAAGCCGGTAGTTGCTTTGATCAGTGTAGTATCATTCCGGATACACATACGCGTAACCGACGCTCACAACACACACCAAACTCGAAGGAGTGGGGAGAAAGAAAGACAATCACACAGAGAGATAAACTAGATTCCTATTTTCGATAAGCTAGTAATATCAATGCCAAATAGAGCCAAGAAACTTAGCCTTATTACGGCCCGATTAAATAAATATTGATACTTGCCTCCAAATTAACACAGGCCATTATTCGAAGCGATAAGGGGATTGTTTCGTCGTCATAAATCGGCACCATCTCCTCCTCCTTTGCCAGGCACAGTCGGCACAGCTCGTTCACGTGGATAATCACATTGCTGGGGCTGTCGCCCTTTTTTCTGCTGTACGTTTTCATTGCACCGTTTTAACACTAGTCGCCAATTTATTTAACCGTTGGCGTCGGAGAAACACTTAAGAGAGCTAGAGAACGGGACTCGGTCACTCACAACGGAATCTATAATGGCGGCGGCGGTTGGCCAATGGCAAACGCGTGGCGCTGCTGTTTGGTAAAGATGGAGAATGGAGTTGTGTGGAAGAGAGAAGGATATTTTAGTGGGACGAAAACAGGAAAGGATTTTAGGGTCTTCATCATCGCAAAGTCGGTAAGGCCGGTCACTATTATTGATTTTCCATTCTTCCCAACGGCGGGAAATGGATTTCCAACTGCTGCCATTGCGGTATATTCGAATTTCCTTGAATTTTCTTCGAGTTTATTATACATTATTTCAAGATATCCCTTTCGTTTTTCAGGTACACTATATTAAAATTAGAAATGGAGGATATTTCCAGTAACAGCATTGTTTCGTAACCATGCGTATGGGAATAATTATGTTTATTTGCAAGACATTGTAGAATATCGACTGTTCAGGAAGACATTGCCATCTTGTCAAGAGCATTGTGTTCGTAGAGGTGATTTCTTTATAGTGATTCGAATATTTATGAATGGAAAAGGTAATAATGTGAATATTTTTAAGAAAATCATTGTAATTGACTATCTTAGTTGTATGGCAACTGCAATATATAATATTTTCAGTGAGTGCAAGTAATAGAATGTTGACATTCTCGTTATCCCGCTCTTTTGGTAAGGTATTGAACGTTGAATTCAATTAATACTCAAGTCTTAGGTTTTAATATACATTTAGTATACATTGTTTCATACTGTGAATTGATTTTTACTATAATATTTTATGTCTAAGTTACTATCATATTTGATAACTAAATGCAATAATAATTGAAATAAACAATTAACAATATCTTTACCTAATAGACATCAACAACTATACTAAGCAGGCAACAATCAGTGTTTTCAGAATTCTGGGTACATTTTTCAGTTACAATTTTGCTCTTTTATAGAAAAAATATTATTAAACGATAAATTGGATAGGAATATTATTTATTTTTTGAAGATCCGACTTATCAGTTTTATGTTTATCAAGATGTTCATTTCCATATATAACTGTGGGCTATAATTTATAATCAGTAGGCAAGTTTATAATTAAAATAATGTATCTAAATAAAAATTTATATATTTGATTAAAAATTTATTGTTTTAAATTAAGTTTATTACATTAGTGTTTTAACTTTGATATAACGAATTATGATTTTGCATATCAATATTTTATAACACAATGCATATTCATTTTATTTACATTTACGTTATATATTATGGTGTGCATAAAATATAACATTATTTTAGGATTTTTAGTATTTTTTTGCAATGTATAATATATATGTATATATTGTATATTATTAGGTTTCACTTGATTTCGATCTACTGTGGAGGAAATTTAATTCTGAGGTACATGTAAATGAAATCTGTTACATTTACATTAAGTCAACTATACAGTCACAGTGCAGGTCCCACGTTAGCCAAGTCGATCCAAGGTTTAAAAGTGAAGAGGGGCAAGGAAAGACGTCCATTCGCCGCACACGGCCCGATTGTTATGGTGACTCAGTTTCGGCACGTCTTTGTTACTGGCTGAGCCGCGGGATGAAGAAATGAGACGGCCA